AACAACGCTGCCATGTGTGAGCACACGACATCCAAGAATGCGTTTGGAAGTGTTATACCTGAAATAATGATTTTTTTCCCTGAGAGCATTTAGTGCGTCACTCGTGCAATTTATGCAAGAGGTTAAAGACATAATGGGAGAGGTTTTCAAATTTTGTAAAGACTTGGATTCCGAGCACCTTATAATTAATAGAAAGTAAATGTAATGCCTTCAATATATCCAAAAACAAACCTATTTACTAAGTATTCTACCCCTGTTCGATCTATCATCACATCATCGTCGAGTTTGATTATGAACTTTGGCGGATGAGGACATGTTGTTAAAAGTTGTATCCAGGCTTGTGCCTAAAGTGTGGGCACTAGTTTTTCGAAGACATATCTGGAGCTTACCTTGTAAGTAATATTGTGGTAGTGCTCTATGGTGTCCACTTGTAAAAGATCATCATATTTTTTAGCTTCTTTCTCACAATTTTCTGTAGTTTCTCGCGCAGCACTTCCAATAACGAACATCCGCTTGGCTTGTAGCTGAATTTTAAGTTTTAAGAAAAGTGAGGTAGGTCAGGGACCAGTTCTCGTATTCAGGAAAGTCATATTTACCGTATCCAACCAAGCATCGTCGAGTTGCTTCCGTTGAAATTGTCTTTGAGCAGTATTCCTCAGGTCAGAATGAACAATGAACACCACAGAAATGTTCGATTCACATAATGAATGCGGCAGTATACGTATTCGTGGTGCATAGGCCGGTCGCGGGTCGCGGCGCACTATTGGCGTTGACTCAGCTGGATAGATCTGAAAGTGGATTCTTGGCTTTGCTAGTGCTGTAATTATTGGTAACTTACCGGATGAACATATAACCTGGAGGGCAAGTTATCGCACTGCTGTTGTTTTGGAATTGCACCATAGTTGGTTATTGCGTACCATAAGCAGAATATCACGACGGCAACAACACTAACTCGACATAGACAACGGACGCACATTCATATAGATCTAAAAATTTTGAGATGATTGTAAGTTATCCTCAAAGAATGGTTAAAAGCAGTCATGTAGACAAAGGGTAGGAGATGTGACTACTCTATGCCTCTTAAGGATTGTCGACACTTTCTTCGAATCAGCGCTGGGTTATAATTAAGCCGACTCCCATCTCATTTCTCTGATATTAACCACCTTTTGAGCGGTCAGATCTGATCAAGATGATGTGAGAACAGGCATAGATAAGATTAGAACCCTAATGCAAATGATGTTTTCCGTTTCCTCCCACGTTCGTCCAAA